AAAATGCGAGGTGTGTCACTTATTTTGCAACAGAAACCCCCATTTTTCCATACTGTTTTCAGACTACTTTTCACGATGTTTCGTGCTTCGTAGAAAACATGAGACACTGTTTACCTCTTAGTTTCGATTAGAACATCCTAGCGCAACACCCAGTAAAACCGTGTCCTATCGTTTCTTTGGAAATTGTTGTTCCTGTGGTGCTTCCACGCCGGCCCCATTCTTCACCATTCTGGGTGATCAAAGCTTGTCCTGGTTACAATATTTGCATAAGTCAACTGCTCTTCAACTGTCCTGTCAAAGGTGCCCGCCCCATCGAGACGTGAATTGTTGGAGGAAATTGAAAGTCGAGGAAGACGGTTTCTGTTTGTCTGTCCTAATACGTGTCATCATATCGACGTTCAACACAGATGCCTCGCTGCACTGCAACCATAATTTATTTGAAAACCCTAACATGAAGAAGAGAAAGGTGGATAAAGTGAGGACTTGGTGCTAACCAGCGGCATAATCATTCCTAGTTGCCTACATTTCCTGACACTCCGTCAAACACTCTGGATAGAAACCGACAACAGGAACGCTACTGACATTTATGAGCAACCATGCACTGGGGGAAAACCCTTGCTTGAAGATGACACTACCCAAACTTTTTGTATTTGCTTTCATTTCTCCTATTCCGGGTCAAAGTCGGACCACCTTTCTCTATGAATGCACCACTCTGAATGGACAGGGGAAACAACATTGTTCTCGGCAGACAATGTTTCAGCATACACAACTGCTGAACAGAGTCTTCGAGTGAACTCCCTACTGCATAACCTTCCATTTATCTCATTGCGGATTCGTTGGCACCAACCTACGTGAATTATGATTCCAGACAAAGGTTGATAGGTCCATAACTCAGACATCGTTGCATACAAATAACCTGAGAGTTTTGTAACTTGCTGAGGTGATCCGGTTCAAGCAGACTGCCGTTCCTCAGTTCTTCTAAAGATTGGGAATACCTCATTTTTTGTCATATTTTTTGAGGATATTGTTCCAAAAGTGTCCGTATTCGCTCGGCTTCCCGGGCATTCTAAATTCTAGACATTTGATTACGTTACCCGGACGTCTGAAGTCATCACTTTACACTTTACACATGAACCACCATCTTTCTGTACAGTAAAGAACGTCTCACTGGAAATTTGGTCGTGCCAGTAAACCCAATCCATGCCGAAAAACCATCACTGTACAGCTTTTCCACACCTGTTGGGAATCACTGGCAATATCAGCAGGGTTTCGAACTCGTGACCTTCCGACCAATGGCCGAGCAGTTAATCTTTCGATCACGAGCGACTGATCAGCGGTGTGATCGGCCCTCAATTAGAGTGGCACTTGGTTCTGTACAAATGAGGATGAAGTAGCTGTGTAGTGCTCCTCGACTTTTTAGAATAGATTCGCTCCACTGACAAGATGAGACCTCTAGTGAACATTATTATACCTCTTCATACCGTCATTAAAGAAGGCTCCATTACAGCTACGTTTGATTTATCTTAAAACACACCTCAACTGTCATCAAAATTCGTCCTAATTGTCCCATAGACACAAACGTCCTCCACAACAAAGACTAGGCGCATCGGATTTCTCTGTGTCACAGTATCTGACTGACCGTACTGTGGTCGAATGTGTTCTTGAATCAATAGGATGCCTCATAACATACCATTCTCATCTGCATGAAACTGCTTCAGTCCTCCCACTCTGGAGCAATGACCCATCAAACTTGCCCTGTCCTGAGTGAGCATATAAGCTACTAGAGGCTTAAAAGATATTTTAAATCGCTGTACTTAACGTCACAATGTGATGGACTTTACTGAAAGAATACAATAACACAGGTCAAAATAAAGAAAAAATCGTCGCGTCCTGCTAACACGGACATTCTGCTGAATCAAAAAGAGAGTGAACCTGAACGCACGCGGCTTTTTGCGCTTGCGGAGGCGTCAGGTACTAGCATCATCGTTGGTCGTCCCATCAACCATAGTTATCCCACATACCCTTGTAAGCCGACCCATGAAACAAGTTAGGTTTGATAATCCGCCATACTTTGTTTCCGCTTGGACATACACTCGTTTGAAGAATTATCAAACTTGAACTTGAGTTATGTGNATTTGTCCTTATAAACAGTTTGTCCGGGAAGGGAAGCTCCATACCGTTCCGACGAGCCTTTTACCTGACATGCCTGTCAAAACCAGAGTGTTGGCGACAGAACCGGATGACAACTGGAACTAAATCCAGTCTAAATTCAAGTTAATCACAATTTGTTGCTACAGAACGGAATGTTGGTACTTCTATCCAGGATGCTGCGGATTCGTGGGAGGTCAAGTACGAATCGTCCCTGAGGTAAGCAAACAGCTAACTGGTCTTCCTGAGGGTCTTCAGAGTAGGGTACGTTTCCTTCTAGGATGGAACGCTCATGTCAAAACATAGCTTTCCTCCAAGTGAATGAATGATACTAATTTTTGGCAAAATGTCTAAGTTGGTTTCAACCAAAGAATCAAGTGAATCACAGCTGAGTATCTCATTTACGATGTTTCTCATCCATGATTCTATTAAATCTTCCTTTTGAAAATGTGTGCTTAATTAGAACACCACTTTGACTGCACCCGTCATCGGATGTCAAAGAGTTTTCAGTGACTTTGTGTAATATTACAACAAAAAACTCCATTTTTAATTATTTTGTCTGCCGGTGCAGTTACCGTTTCTTTGGCGTATCCGACACATGAAGGTGTTTACTCTGCTCAAATAGTAGGTCGAAGTGTGTGGTCTAAAATGCGAAAAACTCGAGCGATAAAAGCGTTTGGCTGAAAGAAGTACACCTAGCATCATCAGTAGCTTATCGATCCACTTAAATTAAAGCTCTAAGCTTGAACAGACGTAGTTATTTGAGCTTATGCGACCTGTACCGAATCTGGTCAGAATGCTACTGTAGGTCGTCACAAACAACCCCCTTATTCTGTTTATCGATCAAGTTGACGAAACAGTGGTCGGCTAACAAACTGTAGGTCACTAATTACATGACCAAAAGCAACCGGTCGGTACATATCTAGGTTTTTAGCATGGAACAGTATTCGTATTCAACTGACCAGTGTTTCCGTTGTCCTCATAGGCTGCTTTTTNGCCAAGAGTACAACTACAAAAACAATGTGGAAGGCTAACAGTAGCTTCATATGCTGGCCATTTGCCAAGAATATTCAACATTCAAACAGACGGGTCGATGAACCAGAGGACTACCGTAGCAATACTGCCTACTTGATAAATCCCAAGAAGAGCGAAACCCGTCGTGGGCTATCGACGAATTTTCAGCAACCCTATGAGTAGTGCATTACAGAGATACACCTACCTTTTCAATTGCAAATCACAAGAACGATGGCAACTGATTTAAATGCATAAATTTTAGAATTTCGGTCGTTATTCATGACCTGCAATGAGCATTCAAAAAGGAATTACCACTTTGTGATGTTTTGGATGTCGCGCATGTCTGCGAACAGTTCTCAAACTATAGTCGGTCTTCGTACTGGTAAAATTAATCATATAAAGTCGCAGTTTTGTCGTCAACTTCATCTTCAAGAAGCTGTTGGACGAATCGTCGTCTTTCCAACGTTTCTGTGTGTTATAGAGTCAATTCACCGACATGCTGATAGTTACCTTTTTTGGTGTCGAGGTTTTTACTATTTGGTATGGCTCAGTGGGCCCGAGTTAGCCCAGCGACTTAGACGCACTTATTGACCCGATGGTCCGTGGTTCGTATCCAAACCAGGGATGTTGACCGCTGCTGTCTAGGCTTGGGTAGTCCTCATGCCTTCTTCGGCTGGCATGACAGCTATTAATCGAAATGGAGTGCGACAACTGAACGATTATTTTTTTCGTTATCATTCTGTGGCACATGTGTGGATGGCCTACCTGTACCATTCTACTGATTCGGTGACCGACTGGTTCGTTGTTATCAGATGTTTGCGATTGTTCTCCATGAATCCCAGAAGGACCGTATGGCTCTGATAGTTGTAAGTAATAGGTCAGGACCCTGCATGACAACGATACTCCTATGCATCACCATAGACTAGGTTACCAGGTTACCATATTTTACTTTTCGCAAGGACATTTATCGTTGTCATCAGACGATTTCGAGAAATTGAGTTGTTTTTCAGTAGCGTCGGGTTTGTAATCCGATAGAGGCCTACTTACTAATCGTGTCACTATCATGGTGCAAATACGTAGACGACTGTTGGTGAGAGGAATACCACTGCACAAGGATTTTGTCCCTTTATTATTGTCTAAAAGCAGTCAAGTTTCCTGGAAAACTAACAAAGGAGTTAAGGTTATCTTTTAGTTTTACTCTGGCTGTACGGGGAATTCCGCCCATTTAAAGCTTCCCGGTAGAATTCACCATCGGAATTTTTAAATTTTTTGTACTTAATTTGGTGAAGTTATGTCCGTACAACAATAGTGTTGTTGGTGTGAGATCCATGAGATGTGTAACGGAGATTTCGGTCTGTAAACAAAGTTGGTCTACTCCAAAAAAGTCGGAAAGGACTGTAGAGCACTTTTATCCCTATTAAGAACCATCCGAAGCATGCGTCTCACGGAACTACAGGGAGTTTCAAACCCGTGACTTCCCACCAGTGGTTGATGACCGACCCGCTCGACCAGATGCGCTTGATCATCAGCTTGGTTTACTCTCACGTAAGCAGGTTGTACCTCTATTCATTCTTCAGTCCACCTCTCGTGGTCACCTGTTGACTAGCCCCTCGGGTGAGAATTTCTCCGATGGATGGTTCTCGCTATATGCTGTCTAACTGACAACCGATCGCACTGCTGATCAGCTGGCCGTGGCTAGACGGTTAAGCCTTCAAACTACTTGGCAGGAGGTCGTGGTTTTGAAACTTCATACTGAAGTTTCATGAGATGCTCACTGCCGACGATTCCCAGTAACGATGACACATCTGTGCAGTGTTTCTCAGCTTTTCAGCATAGATTGTTTTCACTTGCACAGAGAGAGAAGGAGTGGTCATAATTCTTTGACATGAACTGCCCGACGATTATTCGATCACATGCCCGAGCATCGTAGCAACGCCAATGGAGAGAACGCCATTTAATAAATAAAAAAAATAGGGGGCAACGTTGTCAAGACAACTAGATGAGTTGAGTCAACAGCTTATGTACGGTCGACGCTGCTTCCGCTTAGTCAATAGACACATGGTCCTGGGTTCAACAGCAAAGGATCACGTGAACAATCCTCTCCCTGTGCACCTGAAGATGCTCAGCAGAGAAGAATTATATGAAATGCCACCACAAAACTTGTGGGTTTCAGCCTTCGATTGAAGAAAAAACGGAGGACCTCGTCACATCTGTTTCGCTCTCTTTGAGAAAAACCAGCGGCAGAAGTATTTACTGACGATGATACCCAACAGGAATAAAGTATACCTATAGGGCTCTCCTTGACTTCACATTTATTGAGCTCTTAGAAGTCAAAATGTCCTCTCCTCATTAGAAAACTGTTCAGAATGAATGAAATCCCGCACGAGCATTCCATCCCAGAAGTCATTGCTTGAGGGACCAGCTAACGGTGCGGTGTGTATCCCGCGACTGATGGATGAATATCTGAACAAAAGTTGGTCCTACTGCTGATTGTCCAACAGTGGCCGAACTGTAATATGTCCATCTGCTAACCGAAAAATCACGTGCTCATTCGCCATAATACTGATGGGTCTCGATAAGGCTTAAACAGCTATAAAAATTCCCCATATTTTTTAGCATGGATTGTATTCGCTTGCAAATCAAAACCCAGATGAAGTTTTTGAATCTTCTCACTAATTACAACAACTACAAGGTCTTTAAACTATTTGGTCTCCTCTGTGGGGGTGGGAAGGCCTCAGAATGTCGATTTTTAACTTTTTATCTCTTCACCTGCAATAACAAAAAACATGAAATTTGCAGTTCTCGTAGTCTTACTCCCATTTGTCCTTATAAACAGTTTGTCCGGGAAGGGAAGCTCCATACCGTTCCGACGAGCCTTTTACCTGACATGCCTGTCAAAACCAGAGTGTTGGCGACAGAACCGGATGACAACTGGAACTAAATCCAGTCTAAATTCAAGTTAATCACAATTTGTTGCTACAGAACGGAATGTTGGTACTTCTATCCAGGATGCTGCGGATTCGTGGGAGGTCAAGTACGAATCGTCCCTGAGGTAAGCAAACAGCTAACTGGTCTTCCTGAGGGTCTTCAGAGTAGGGTACGTTTCCTTCTAGGATGGAACGCTCATGTCAAAACATAGCTTTCCTCCAAGTGAATGAATGATACTAATTTTTGGCAAAATGTCTAAGTTGGTTTCAACCAAAGAATCAAGTGAATCACAGCTGAGTATCTCATTTACGATGTTTCTCATCCATGATTCTATTGAACCTTCCTTTTGAAAATGTGTGCTTAATTAGAACACCACTTTGACTGCACCCGTCATCGGATGTCAAAGAGTTTTCAGTGACTTTGTGTAATATTACAACAAAAAACTCCATTTTTAATTATTTTGTCTGCCGGTGCAGTTACCGTTTCTTTGGCGTATCCGACACATGAAGGTGTTTACTCTGCTCAAATAGTAGTTCAAAGTGTGTAGTCTAAAATGCGAAAAAATCGAGCGATAAAAGCGCTTGGCTGAAAGAAGTACACCTAACATCATCAGTAGCTTATCGATCCACTTAGATTAAAGCTCTAAGTTGTACAGGCGTAGCTATTTGAGCTTAGGCGACCTGTACCGAATCTGGTCAGAATGCTACTGTAGGTCGTCACAAACAACCCCCTTATTCTGTTTATCGATCAAGTTGACGAAACAGTGGTCGGCTAACAAACTGTAGGTCACTAATTACATGACCAAAAGCAACCGGTCGGTACATATCTAGGTTTTTAGCATGGAACAGTATTCGTATTCAACTGACCAGTGTTTCCGTTGTCCTCATAGGCTGCTTTTTTAGCTCTGTGTTAAACCAGGTCAGTGCCGCTGCCTCATGGTAGGCTCCTGCCCTGAAGGTCGTGTGTGTTGGTTCACAACTTGAAAATGACCACCGTCATGATACCAGATAATGGCTGCCATTCCGTGCAGTCGCCTCCACTTGCAGCAGGCAAGCACTGAGACAAATTTGGTTAACAGCATTTTACCGTCGATTTCAATTTGTTACTTTGCTCAATTTAACACATGCGTCGAAATCTGCTTGGGTCTGACCACTAGTGAACTGTCGATTAGTTACTACTAACACTTACGATCGTTAAGCAGGACCAGATAATTAGCACGCTCCGCGTGCTTTGTTGGAACAGTGTTAACACGCTCGCCTCACAGGTTAGTTGTCAGATATCCGACACTATCACTGCTGATGAGCTCTGGCGCGAGCAAAACTTGAGTCCAGTGCATCCGTTCTTTTGTGGGGACTCAACGAAACGATTGCGCTAGGACAGGAAGATGACTGTTCAAAAGAGACTGTGAGGAAAGCGAATTCTTCAACCATGTGCTTTAGATCTTTACAGCTCGCACGAGTAATGAGATTCCCAACGAACTCCTGCGAACAGGTTAAACCACGCAAACAATACTTGACCAAATCTTATGCCTCCCACTCAAGTGAGGTTGACGAATGTTTGGTGACGAGGTTGAAGCATTGCCTGAAAATCAGGCAATCGAAACACATGACATTCGTTTGCTGAGGCCTAATCGGGACAAAATGCGAGGTGTGTCACTTATTTTGCAACAGAAACCCCCATTTTTCCATACTGTTTTCAGACTACTTTTCACGATGTTTCGTGCTTCGTAGAAAACATGAGACACTGTTTACCTCTTAGTTTCGATTAGAACATCCTAGCGCAACACCCAGTAAAACCGTGTCCTATCGTTTCTTTGGAAATTGTTGTTCCTGTGGTGCTTCCACGCCGGCCCCATTCTTCACCATTCTGGGTGATCAAAGCTTGTTCTGGTTACAATATTTGCATAATTCAACTGCTCTTCAACTGTCCTGTCAAAGGTGCCCGCCCCATCGAGACGTGAATTGTTGGAGGAAATTGAAAGTTGAGGAAGACGGTTTCTGTTTGTCTGTCCTAATACGTGTCATCATATCGACGTTCAACACAGATGCCTCGCTGCACTGCAACCATAATTTATTTGAAAACCTTATCATGAAGAAGAGAAAGGTGGATAAAGTGAGGACTTGGTGCTAACCAGCGGCATAATCATTCCTAGTTGCCTACATTTCCTGACACTCCGTCAAACACTGTGGATAGAAACCGACAACAGGAACGCTACTGACATTTATGAGCAACCATGCACTGGGGGAAAACCCTTGCTTGAAGATGACACTACCCAAACTTTTTGTATTTGCTTTCATTTCTCCTATTCCGGGTCAAAGTCGGACCACCTTTCTCTATGAATGCACCACTCTGAATGGACAGGGGAAACAACATTGTTCTCGGCAGACAATGTTTCAGCATACACAACTGCTGAACAGAGTCTTCGAGTGAACTCCTTACTGCATAACCTTCCATTTATCTCATTGCGGATTCGTTGGCACCAACCTACGTGAATTGTGATTCCAGACAAAGGTTGATAGGTCCATAACTCAGACATCGTTGCATACAAATAACCTGAGAGTTTTGTAACTTGCTGAGGTGATCCGGTTCAAGCAGACTGCCGTTCCTCAGTTCTTCTAAAGATTGGGAATACCTCATTTTTTGTCATATTTTTTGAGGATATTGTTCCAAAAGTGTCCGTATTCGCTCGGCTTCCCGGGCATTCTAAATTCTAGACATTTGATTACGTTACCCGGACGTCTGAAGTCATCACTTTACACTTTACACATGAACCACCATCTTTCTGTACAGTAAAGAACGTCTCACTGGAAATTTGGTCGTGCCAGTAAACCCAATCCATGCCGAAAAACCATCACTGTACAGCTTTTCCACACCTGTTGGGAATCACTGGCAATATCAGCAGGGTTTCGAACTCGTGACCTTCCGACCAATGGCCGAGCAGTTAATCTTTCGATCACGAGCGACTGATCAGCGGTGTGATCGGCCCTCAATTAGAGTGGCACTTGGTTCTGTACAAATGAGGATGAAGTAGCTGTGTAGTGCTCCTCGACTTTTTAGAATAGATTCGCTCCACTGACAAGATGAGACCTCTAGTGAACACAATTAACCTCTTCATACCGTCATTAAAGAAGGCTCCATTACAGCTACGTTTGATTTATCTTAAAACACACCTCAACTGTCATCAAAATTCGTCCTAATTGTCCCATAGACACAAACGTCCTCCACAACAAAGACTAGGCGCATCGGATTTCTCTGTGTCACAGTATCTGACTGACCGTACTGTGGTCGAATGTGTTCTTGAATCAATAGGATGCCTCATAACATACCATTCTCATCTGCATGAAACTGCTTCAGTCCTCCCACTCTGGAGCAATGACCCATCAAACTTGCCCTGTCCTGAGTGAGCATACAAGCTACTAGAGGCTTAAAAGATATTTTAAATCGCTGTACTTAACGTCACAATGTGATGGACTTTACTGAAAGAATACAATAACACAGGTCAAAATAAAGAAAAAATCGTCGCGTCCTGCTAACACGGACATTCTGCTGAATCAAAAAGAGAGTGAACCTGAACGCACGCGGCTTTTTGCGCTTGCGGAGGCGTCAGGTACTAGCATCATCGTTGGTCGTCCCATCAACCATAGTTATCCCACATACCCTTGTAAGCCGACCCATGAAACAAGTTAGGTTTGATAATCCGCCATACTTTGTTTCCGCTTGGACATACACTCGTTTGAAGAATTATCAAACTTGAACTTGAGTTATGTGTTGAAGATGGCAACCAATGACCTATTAGTATCATTCCAGCAAGATGCATTTTCTTATAGTGCATGCACGCATGGATAATTCTATTGAACCCAACGATAATTGTCTGAGGGCAGCAGTACTGTGTTCAATACGATCACGTAAACGGCTGGTCTTAGTAACCAGATTTGGAGTTCGTAGACCAAAGGTCTTCCCAATGCAAGTAACCGGCCGTTCTTTGTGAAAACCGCTTCTTCGAACAACAACAATAGGTTTGTTTAGAGGGTGCGGAGACCTACGGCAAGTCATCAGGCAGCCAGCCCACCGTAGACCAAAGGTCTTCCCAATGTAAGTAACTGGCCGTTCTTTGTGAAAACCGCTTCTGCGAACAACAACAATAGGTTTGTTCAGAGGGTGCGGAGACCTACGGCAAGTCATCAGGCAGCCCAAGCGTGACAATAGGCGCCAGTACCACGTGTTTTTTGAGACATCGGCGCCATCCGTCGACCCCTTCAAGTTTCAGCGTAATGTTGAACCTCACCATTGTATCACCATGTAAGTGTTACATGGACCTCTCTATTAACACGCCACCAAGGCGCTAATGGATAACCTGGGGGATATTCAGCCAATCCTGCTGTTGATTCCCCCTGTGAATCAACGGTTGTTTTTATTTTACGTTCTGACTACTCATCAGTAGCGTGGTTTATGCCCGTTTATTATGACGCCGTTTCGTTTTTTGCTTTTCGGTTTCTCAGTCTTGTCCCTACTTAAGGTCTGCTTATTCTCTAGTAACTGATGTCAGTATTTTTTCGCCTCTCAGTTTTCGCTTGCAACTTCTGTCAGCTCTACCTATTTTCGAGGATCGAACTCCTATGCCGACACGTGAGCGTGCTACCCACCACACCGACCCGATGCCCCAAGGGACCCTGTTTCTGTAGTACCCTTATAGCGCATCTGTCAGATGGCCTTTGTTGGGATTTGTTTAAAACGGACTCAAGTGCGCAATCTTATTTGGCATGCGACGCGAACTGCTGCATCGAGGTGTCAGCGAAAGACCTCTCCTTACCTCGCGAACATACCGATTGATTTCTGCGCCATTTTCTCTCTGTACGGCCAATTTACACCGACTGATTGCCCGTTTCTATACGCTTGTACATCAGTTGGTACTTGCTTGCTATTGAATCCAGAAAACCCTGCTGCCTCACTGGCTATTTTTCTGGTCCTACCGATTGCGCCATTATTGACTACTTAATTCACGATATTCAATAACCCGTGTGTCCATAGAACCAGTTCTCAATAGAGCATCTGTTACTCTCGCCCCGACTGCTCCTATTGCCTACAGAGTACGATAGCCGCAATCGTCTTGTGTGACTATTAGCTACCCGGATCTTAGATCTGTGTTCAATGTTATCATTCTTATGCTAACAGTATATCGCCCGCCCTCAACAAACGAACCGAACAAGGACTGTGGCTTTTCCTGGTACAGTGGTCCTCCCGTATGAAGAAACCTCAGGCTAAAAGACACCTCTGGTACAAAACATTCGGTGTTTCGGGTATTTTCAGCGGAACGCTTTTTATACAGTAACCCCTTTACATATGTAGAGAAATCACCCGTCACAAGTGTTCGCGCTGTTTTGCCTACATTTTCCGGCCGGCCAGTAAAACAATTGCTAAACACACTTGTTTTTGTTGCATTCTCTTTGCTCCATGTTAGGCAAACAAACACTTATCAGCCCATAAGCGAATAGCATTTTCGAATCTGTCCCGTGGGGTACTTGAAACTGAGGTTAGTCACAATTATGGACCCTCGCGTTGTGATCTGTCACCATTTGTCTTACCTGAGTGAACAGCAGCGATATCAGTGAATATCATTGGCAAAGATCGACGGCACTGCTGCAGTAACCAGATATAACGGTTTGATGAGGACGATGACAGGCCTCGTATTTCTATTTATGAATAGACTGCCTTTGAAGCAAACTACTAATACGGTCAATGGAAACACTGGATGTCTCACCGCCAGTTTTTCCCTTCTTGTGACCGACCTAGTTTCCGAACTTCCATCCATTTATTGCTTGAATTCGCAAGCATGATGCGGTAAGCATTCATACACAAGTTAGGTTTTCATTGACGGGAGGCTTAGCTGAAATGCAACTGAATCTGGCAACTTAGTTCGTCAACTGAAGTGTAAAGGATTCACGATTGCTTGTATAAATTTCGGCACACAAAAGGATAAAAATGAACAGAACTACAGGGTGACCTCCCGTGGAACCGTATCGGAAGATCATTCGGGAACTGTCAAATTGAACACATTTCGGCATTTAAGAAACAACTTTTATCCGTTCCTCTTAAATATAACTCTGTATCCTGATGACGTGAACCTGAAGATGATTGCTGAAAAAACTTGCAACAGAACAGTTGTCGACCTCTTTCCATCACATAACTGGTGTGAATTGTGACGTGAATCCATTTTGGACAGCACTGGGTGCGTATAAGCTCGCTGTATCTCCGAACCGGACCGTAGGACTGTAGCACAGAAAGCCGCCAACCTGTCATTTTGGGTTCCCCTTCTCTCACAAGAAAACTACCTATGGTGGACCCCTCAAATTGTCTCCTAAAGGGGAGTACTACATCATTACTCTCTTGTGAAAATCATGCTGCATTTTCTTCCATATCATTTCTGTTTGTTACTTTTTTTTCACTCAGAGCTACTGCCGAATAAAGTCTCAGGAAACTCAGCCCCCCCCCCCAAAGTGTCTACGTGTTTGGACTCACTTGTCATTCCTCGTATGCCGACTAGTTACTTTCAGGTCGCCCCGATGCCTAACTGGGTTACACCATCGCCTTACAGTAGACGCCCCTGCAGGACTGGTTCATTGTCACTTCAGTACTGGGTGCAAAACCTAGCACACTGTTGTCCACTGACGCTTTAGGTAGCATAGGCAGAGAACGCTTACTGCAGCTCTTTACCGTGGCGGGGGACGAAGAGAGTTCCGCCAAGTTATTGAACATCACTCCACAAACCCCACACGTGCCTGACCGAATTTATTCTTCAACTAACAGTAGTGTACCTTCACGGTCCTTTCCCCCTCGCTTGTTTGTGCGCAGGGTGAATTCTCATCTCTGATTCCCTCATACAACGCAAATACGCTGATAACGTGGTGACCTGTTGCGGCTATGGTGTCTTGAGCAAACCGGCAGCTACAACCTGCAGTGGGCGATGCTGTTGTTTGGTCCGGCGAACGCTCTCTTGTTCCCGGTGTCCCGAAAGACCAAGAATTTACATTCTTCCTCACATTCGAGACAACTACACAGTCAGTACCAATTAGTGTCCCGCTCTCCTACACTGCTACCGAGTGTCACTGTATGAAGTAGTCCTGGTTATCCGAACAGTCTTCACTACAGTTCGACGTCTAGTTTTTTCATGCTTAGAACGAGAACACCATCTATTCCCCTCACCATTATTTCTTTCGGCAATAAAGCATGCGTCAACACATGTTGGTGCCTCTGACAATCACAGATGGACATTGTTTCTAAGTTTGTTAATGTTTATATTCCCGTCCCGAACCGGGTTTGCTTCTGTCCTCTCTCCGAAACTTCTTGAGAACGAAGTGTCCCGTTATCAGGTCACTACAGTGCGCACTTTAAAGTGTAGTGAGATGGCATGCAAGGCTACCATTGTTGACTTCGCACATAATGGTGTTTGCCGCAAATCCACAAAACGAATTCTTTGAAATTTTTCACTTCCACCAGCCACTCAAAGCTAAGTCCACTGTCTAAACCCGCTTTGAGTGTGAGCTCGCCAGAACATGCATTCAACGTAATTGTGATTCCTCACTCGACTAGCTTTCCAACTGCCCTGACTATATAAACCATACTTTCCATACATCATTAACCGGCATTCTTCAATCTATATTCTCAGCTCATGTACTATCGCTAGCAGATCATTAAAACGTACATTACGCCCTTCTAATCCCAACCTGGAACCACTAAGCCGCCTTAACACCTGTGTAATAAACTCGCATCGCATCCACTCTTGTAACACACTGGTTGATGAATAATCCAGGCAAATTCAGCAGATTTAGCAGAGAATACTATCACTTCCATCTGGTAACTTGTAAATTTATAAGCTGAGGATCCACCTTCGGGTGTCTGCCTGAGTTCACTATGCTGCTTGTAGCTTTGCATCGATTTGTGGTCAATCGACTTACACGGTTAGTCGTCGGTTTGACATCTTCAAGCCGTTTCTTGTTTCTACTGCCAAGAACCGAGTGAAAGCCAACTGCGTACACAGATGGCTATTCGCACCTTGTACGATCCTAAGCCCGGGTCTTGCGAATAGAATAAGGCTAAAGCATGCTAAAATTTGAAATAATAACCCGGGTCTTGCGAATAGAATAGGGCTAAAGCATGCTAAAATTTGAAATAATAATAACGATAATGATTCCGAAAGTAATAATATTCGTCCGGCTGTGACAACCTCCTTTCGGTGCCATGCCACCCGAAGGAAGCACGACAGCTGAGATACTGTCAGACTGCCGAAGCCTAGACAGCAGCAATCGAGATGCCGAGGTTGGATTCGAACCACGGACCTTCCGGTTAGCAAGTTCGCTCCTTAACGGTTGAGTTGTCTCCAGCTCCGTTACAAGTGATCAGTCTTTTCATGTGCGGGCTGAAAAACTGTCGTGCTGAGATAAATTAACGTTTTATGACACTGTTTCGCTGGTAATTCCATTGTTTGTGAAAGACTCTTTTAACTGAGGTTCCCGTTCGTTTTGAGAGATAACTTCTTCAGAATAAGTAGCACAATGGGGCTAAAATCAGTCAAACTGCTGGTTAAAACACTGGTTTATGGTCATGATAACCACGGTAACCCGCGAGAAACCGGCTACTTCGAGTGGAAACTCTCCCGCACAATTCTGCCTTCAGACCAAAAGTGTGTTCGTTTATCAGTGAGATATGGTGAGCGATTGGGAAGAGGACACAATATGCAGAACAAAAACGAGGGGATTGGGAAGAGGAGGACACAATATGCAGAACAAAAACGAGGAAATTGAAGCGAACATGACAAGGGAAGCGGAAAAAGTTCGAATTATGGCTACAGAATTGGGTATTAATTAGGAAGCATAGGAAACCGGGAAGGGTAAGACGACGAAGAAGGGGAGACGACAGACAGTTACACATATAAGGTATGGAAAGTTACGTAGGTGGGGGACCTTGGTTGCCAATCGAAGCTACGGGACTAGAGACTGTACTACTGATGGGCATGGAAACGCCTCCATCAGCGGAAGTTGGTCCAGAATCGGGATTAGGCAGAGGTGTATTTGCCCTTGCTCCTGGTGTAGCACTCGTAGGAGGAGGTTGTGGATGCGGATGTCCATGCGGTTGGCTTTGTTGATAACTGTGTGGATGGGATGATGGTTGTTGTTGTTGCTGACCCATGTGAGGTGGATACGGCCCCCACTGGACCTGTGTACCGTGCGGCTGTGGTGGCAGGGTTGGTTGGTACTGACCTCCTTGGTGTTGTGGTGGTGCAGCGTAGAAACCACCGGGAGGCATGTTGCCTGACGGTCCGTAAGGTGCTCCAGCTGGCATTGATGGATGTGGATAGCCTGAAAACAAAGAAGAGAGCGACGTGAAGGAATTACTTGGAACTATTTGAAAAAACATCACGTTTATCGACAGACTCTTCTGAGTCTCGGGCATTAAACAAACGAAGAGCCAACTAATCACGCTACAATGAAGTGTAAATAGTCAATGGGCCAACAAACGACGAGAAAATCAAGCTGTCTACTAAGCAGTGAAATCAAAGATATATACAGTTAGTCACACCACATTACTGCACGCGAGAGCGCGACGTGAAGTACTTGGAACTATTTGAAAAAACATCACGTTTATCGACAGACTCTTCTGAGTCTCGGGCATTAAACAAACGAAGAGCCAACTAATCACGCTACAATGAAGTGTAAATAGTCAATGGGCCAACAAACGACGAGAAAATCAAGCTGTCTACTAAGCAGTGAAATCAAAGATATATACAGTTAGTCACACCACATTACTGCACGCGAGAGCGGAAGTGATATCTAGCTACTAGGGAAATTGACGATAGTTCGTCGAGTGATGATAGGATGTTTACAAGTCAATCACTCAGGGCGGTGAATAGATTGACAATGAACGCTGCTGTCATTCGCGGTCTGGAGTGTCTAAACGAACACCCCTTATTCGCTGGTGGACGGGACAAATATTGCCTTAACGGTAGAAATCACAGTATACGGTGAGATCCCCATCCTATCGCTTTGTTCATTTGCTCATAAATAGCCACTTTCTTTCGGCTCCACGAACCGGCCATATAAGTATTGGACAGGTTAGTTGAAATAGCCTGACAGAACCAGCCGTTCTTGTTCAATAAGAGCAAGGGTAGTATCCACTCCACGGGGCACACAGGCGATAAGGGCCCTTGTGAGGACGGTACCCAGCCAACTCGAGAAAAAGCTAATGGCCGTCCTGTATGAACAACACGGAACTGAGTAGATGCCAAGGCGGTGGTTTGACGGACTGAATCAGATTCTGTTCTTGGCTGCATGACATGGACAACTACTGCCACAAAGGAGTTCAAATGTCTCACTCATTCCATACCACGCGGTAAATCACAGATAACTCAATTAGCACTCCAGAAAAATTTGGGAAACGCTCGCGTGAGATATTAGGCAACAAGCCCTCTCCATAGGCAAACCAATAACAGCTGCGGCAATGTCGGCTTGTTATAGCAGAGTCCGAGATGATCCCGGTCACCGAAAGATTCCAATAACGTACCTTATTTGTCCATAGGACTCGGGGATAGGCAAAACTCACAATCAAGCAATTAAAGGCCATGGAACAAACATTTGGTACCAAACTAGTACGCATCAGGGTCATAAACACGTACTTTCGTCAACAGGACTCGCGTCCTCGTGAATAGTCACGGTCTATAGGCTCCACGACTTGAATTAGGGACGCTCTTATCTCGTATTGATTGCGCTTCTTCACAAATACTTTGACGAATACTGTTGTTATTCATACCACGATATTTTTATTATGTAAATAAATTCAGTGTATGGTTCAAAAAGCCAAAAAAAAACAGTGCAAAGCTTTTCCGCCCTTTATTGGTGGTCAACAGTTTGAATCTCATAAATATCCAGGGTGACTCAAACAATATAGCATTCAGCCACGACAGGCTGATCCACTGCACGATTACCCGGTACTTAGTTAAAATATAACGCCGAAAATCCTTCCATCACATGGTTCCACAGGTGCTGACTTCTCAGATGGAAGTTTCATTCATCGTGTAGTTTATTCATCTTTCTGATCGGTGGTTAGTCGTATGAGTGTGCATCTTCTTAACGGAGAACCCAATGACATCCAGTCTATGCTGAAAAGCCGACAAAACGTACAGCTGTTCTATTCTTACTGGGAATCACCAGTAGTAGGTACCTCCAAGGTGGTTAACAATCTCGTAATCTCCCGGCTAGCAAAGACTAAACTGTTCGACTACGAGCGGCCGATCAGCATGGAGTGTAATTAATAGCACACAGATTTTCCGGCATAGGATGAGTTAACTTACAGGACAAAATCTCCATTAAAAAAATACTGTCGCTGATCGAAATAGGTTTGGGTTAATAAACCCTGCAGAACACCAAAAATAAATCCAAGTTACCACTTGACTCGGTGGCACTCTGAAACCCTTATTCTAAGTCAGACACGTCACAGAGACCACCAAACGCTGAAACATGTGGTGTCCACTGTCAGTGATGAACAATAGAAGGAGCTATACAAGGAAAACTTCGAATTCCCTTCGGAACAACAACAAGTGGGTAGTCGGGTAAATTGAAAAGTAATACTAATGATGGGAAAGGACTTTGGTCGCACCATCCGCTGGATGGGCAATACATAACTAAGTTCAGAATGCACCTCCGGTTCACTGACAGTGTCTCCGCAGATATTTGTTGCTTCTATCTCCTATCCATCACATTCAGGTCAGGCTTGAACCATTTTCAGGCTCAGATCGGGGGTTCCGAATCCAACCTCATCCGACAAACTGAAGCCAATCTATGTCACCTGATGCTTTCAGTGCTTGTCGAATAGTAGTTCAAAACTGCGTTCATCTCAATTTACAATCCCATATCATGATTGGCCTTGCTTCAACACTCTTCAGCAAGTAGGTCTAAGCTTATTGTGACGATCTCCAACGTCTGGAAGGCTTGTAGTTCGGTATTGCACGGCCATCAGATCTACCGAGACATTCAGGGCACCGTCATTGCTAGGTTGATCCATCGTACACTAAAACAAGAACGTTGTAGTAGTGTCAAGGGCAGAGGCGGACTGCCGCGGATGAATGAGATAGCGAGTTACACCATCTGATACTGATCACCATGATAACGAATGGGGACTGCCAACACCGTAATTTATACCTCAAGTCCATGACACCTCAAAGGATGGCTTTGTCTTCGCCATCGACTGGGTCTTGAAGACAAGACTGAAGTTGCTAAAATCGAGTTGGTGAAAGCTAGCATGATATCTAGTGTGGCATACTAAGACATAGAACAACGGTTGACCGCAATATCAGTCGAACGCCTAAGCTTCGCCGAAGAACTCATGAACCCTCTTGATCCAACCAATACCGTGGCTTATTTTGGCACCCACCTCATTTTTAAGGGGAGAAATCTGTGACCACCACTTATTGGTGGGACGATGTGCATCCCCTTGAGGCCGTATCAGTGAAGGGAGGCTAGGGAGGACTGGCCCTTATCCAGGCGGACATTCGCTTGCGCTCGATCATGCCCATCGTGACGCACCAAATCAGGCAACCTGCTAAAGGCTCTCTAGGTGGAGACAATGACACCCTGAGAAAGCCGAATCCACTTCGTTAAAAGGGAAAAGGGTCTTCGAATCCAAACTCCGAACAAAACAACTTCACCATGGTGAGAGGAGCGTGCGAAAATGTTTCCTCCGTACAGTGTCAAACTGGGCACAACGAGATCAACGATCTGCCGTTTGGGGCGATCACTAGTGCTCTCAGTCTTTCGATCCAAGTCCTGGGTAAGCCGGTGACTACCAAAGAAGAGATGACAATTGGTCAGGTGAAACCATAGAAATTCTGACGACCATGTCTTAGGAGTTGCCGCACCTCTTTCAGAGTGGCGGCCTGAGAGCCCAAAACATGTGGTATTTGCCTTCCGTGCAACCTATTCAGGACGAGGATAGAAAGCGCTCGGTATGATCAGGGTAGCCTAGCGACCTGTCGACGAAAATGTGGCTAGCCGGGGAATTCGGTACATATCTTGTTTTACACCTGGATCACGTGTTCGTTATGGGGCTCGAATACCTCGCCGACTTTAGGCCTATATTGTCTTCGATTGTCACGAATATCGTTATCATTGTTTGTGGAGTGTACGGAAACGGCAAAGGACGCGATGGACCTCCTTTTGATCTCGTTCCAGTGCATCATTGAACGTTCTTTTGATTTTTCTGGTCCAGGGACCACCCACCATTACAAATCGTGATATTTTATATCCCCAGTCCGTCGAGGCTCTAGTTGAATGGAGGCTTTCCAGTAAGTGATCTATGCATGCTTACCATTCTGTGATATCTATTGAGTGACAGTGGCACGTCAGGTGCGTTAACCGGTTGAGAACTAACAGCCGCCTGATCTAAGACTAATGGGTGGCATATTGCTTGATGTATTTCGCAAAGGCCGTTCTTTCATGTCAGTGTCTTTCAGACTTGATCCTAAGCGGCGGACACTTCGCATCTGACAGGAAAGCCTTGAAGAACAATGAGAACTGCACTTATTCGGTGAGCTTTTTTCCCATGCTACACTGAATTTCACACTTTAAAAATGATATGACGTGCCTCACTAAGCCAGTGATGATACACTCCGAAATTCGTCTTTTCTTACGTCATCCTGTGCTTATGGTGCTTGCCTCTTCGTGTGTGGTCACGTTCTTCAAAAACGAATTATTCCATGAGAAACTTTGTCCAGTTTTGACGAACTTCATTCTCGTGATTGCAGCTTTTACGGGAGAAGCGATCATCAGTCTTAAACATGCACCATATCCCAGTCAGTCAAGTCTCGCCTAAATTCACAAATACTCTGCGTGATAAACACTAAAACGCTACCCAAAAAATGAAGCAAAATATAGCTATAAGTATCTGGAAAGCATAAGACAAGTAACAACTTCTGCTTACCTGGATAATACACAGTTGAGTGGTGAGACTGTTGGACAGGCATATGACCTGGAGAAGCCTCAGGATGCATCATAGTCGGAACTGATGATCCTGGTGGTATGCTCTCCATTGAAGACGGAGGATGGGCCATTCCTGAACCCTCCGAATGTGGTGCGGACATGTAGGGATGCATTGGGTGACCAGGAGGTACACCATACTCCGGAGGAGCGACTTGATGTGGGGAACCCCAGTAACCAGGAGGTACATTTGCTTGTTGCTGATACGGTGGTGGCGCTGGGATTTGTTGTTGTTGCTGTTGTTGCCCCATTGGACCGGTTTCCGGACCTGGTACTGCTCCTGGCTGCGGTGGTGCGTTAGGCGCTGGCTGGTGGTGTTGTGCCGGATGATGCATACCTGGATGGGGCGGTAGTACATAGGCACCAGTCGTCGGAATATGACGACCTGGATGTCCCGGGTAGCCAACAGGTCCGCCAGGTCCCGGATACCTAGGTGGGCCGTACTGTGGGGGATACCCTTGATGCCAACTAACTGCAGCACCTGGATGACCGTGCGGTGGACGAGCAGCAGTGTGCGGAGGAGAACCAACCAAAGGAGCTCCCTGGTGACTCATATGTGCTGAAGGCTGTTGCTGAGGCACATGTTGCACGTACATTGGAGGAGGAGCATGCTCAGGTGTCGGCTGATGAGAACCCGGTGAATACTGTCCTGGAACGTACCCACCATGTCCGAATTGTGGGCGTGGAGCATGAGGTGGGAAACCTCCTCCGGGGTGGCCAGCAGATTGAACAACGGGATGATGGTAGTAACCTGAGGCAACAGACATTGGCACGCTGCTAGGAGGCACATTGTGCTGTTCGTAGCCGAACGGAGGTTGACCAACAACGTTCGAAGGATGACCAGCTGCAGAGCTAGATGGTGGGGCAGCGGCCTGTTGTGGCGGTGGCTGTGCGTACTGTGGTATAGTCTGGCGACTAACAGCTTGTACTCCAGAATTAGAGGAGTAGTCTCCAACAGAAGCTGGCCCACAGGTCATATCATTCAATCTTGGATGCTCTGAAGATTCCTCAGGTAGTCCACGACGTTCACCGGTAACATTCCCACCAGCACCATTGTCCAGTTTCCTCTCTTTATTCGGAACCGTGGTATCGGATTTTTTGCGCTTAGAAGATGTGGAGGAAGTCGAAGAACCTGATGAAGAGGAGGATGCGGATGAAAGATGTTTCTTTTGTTGCATTGGAGAAGCTGCCCTGGGAACAGCAAGATTTGCGACCATTTGTTGTTGGGCCATTGTAGGCGGTCCACGGGGCGGCAAACTTGACGGTGGGTAACTCGGTGGAGGTGGATAATGGTGCTGAGTATGGCTCGAGTGTGGAAAACGTTGACCACCATTGACACCCGATAGCTGATTGGGAAACCGGTTTGGCGCCCCAGCAGCATACACCACACCAGTGGCCTGTGTTGGAATCTCCTGCATCATCTGGTTAGGCTTCACTTCTTGTATGCTAGGCGTCTGAGTAGGTGGCTGCGGTTGTGGTTGATGTTGAGAAACGAAATGGGGTTCGATTTTCTCATCCTAAAGCACAAGAGAGGGAATTATCAAGTTTGATGTATGCCATCACTGTAAGACGTCAACAATTGAAGTAACCTCCAATCAAACTATCTAATCAGCAGCAGCAGCGGAAGTGCAAACCGTGGCAAGCACACTAAAGCATCCAATTATGTGAATCTACATAGTTGGATCAACCAGTGGCAAAATAGTCTACAGCAGGGTAAAGGTGACTAGATGAGGCTTTAACGTAATTCAAACGATATTACCCACTAAACTGCATCTTTTCCCTGATAACCCTCTGCTAGAACATAAAAACACGGTAGTTCACTTAACTTGGCTAGGCAACAAGTTATCCAATGAAAGACGTACAAGTAACTGACGTATGAAGCTTTACCTGTTGCACATTCATGGGACGGTCTGCGGTTAGCTGTGGCTGCATGGCTCCTGTCATCTCAGCAGCTTGGACTTGCTGGACCCTAGCTTGAGCCTGCTGCGACTGTTGAAGTTGCTGTTGCTGCTGTTGGAGATGCTGCTGCTGCTGAGCCTGTTGTTGTTGTTGTTGCTGCTGCTGCTGTTGATGAGCCTGTTGACGACGACGCTCAGCCTCAGCAGCTAGCTCGGCCTCACGCTGTTGACGCTGTTGTTGTTTGCGTCTCCTCATCTCCACCTCAGCCAGATAACGCGAAAGACGTTCCTCCTCTTCTCGCTGCAGATCGGATTTCGCTTTCACAATCATATCGGCAAACTGCGATTCGGTGATCATGGGACGCGACGCCGTTAGTTTCTCGTAGTCAGCTATAAATTTGTCCGAATCTTCTTGAATACGTTCCAATTTGGCCCGGTGTCGCAGTTCGCAACCTTCAATCTCTTGACAGAGGTTACGCTTGTGGTTCTTTAGTTGCTCAACTTGTGATCTGAGTGTGTTTAGACGGCTCTGTGTTATTAGCTGTCCTGGGTCCGGAAGGCGAGCATCACTCAAAATCTCTTGCATTAGGCGATGATTGCGCTGAAAACGAGCTGCAGCGACGTGTTTGGCTGTGTACTGATCTTCAGCGTCTAATTTCAAAACAAAGAATAGACAGATCATATCAGAACGGAGACTCAATGATGAAATTGGTGAAAATGTACGGAATAAGGTGTAACCACATAAGATTAAGCACGAACGATTGGCTGTGTTGCGTCCACCATTGGGCTGTTTATTGTGCCAGCGTTTAGCTACTCATGAGTAATGACAGTCTATGACGGTTTCGGAGAAACCGGGTAGATCCCTTCGAACTGAAGATCACCCAGTGTGAGCGTTATCCACGCTCGCATGGGTAGACACCTTAAAAACCTAATATACAAGTCGTACAAAAAGATATTAGTAGGTAACGGATGATACCTTATTTGGAATGACTCTGAATTATACTTCACGAAGATACATTGTCAACACACTACCCATTCCTGGTCTCACTAGTGCTCTCGATATCCACACCACATTTACGGCTACACATGATATTCTCCGTCTAACACGGTGATTTCAATTGGCATCTTCCAGTCTAAAGTGTATTTTTCAGGCTGCAAGACTTGATTCTCTGACAGTTCGCTTATGCTAGTTAACCAGAAACAGTGTAGCCAGCATATGTAGGTTCCAGATGCCAAAGTTTCGTATATCGATAACGGACAAATGAGAGAAGACGGACTGCCGTTGAAAAAGACAAATCGACCAGTTCCTCTACATAAAATCATCCTAATTTGTTGAACTTCGATTGAGAAACTGACACAGGAACGCCAACAGGTGTCTCATTCGGATATAGCACGCCTCGTACCGAGGACCAATCCGGTAGTTGTCAACAGGACTGAGCTTCTGGTCAGAGATTCCAAGTCCACTGCTTAAGCACTGTGAGCAAGGCTGGGAGGAAATGGTGTAGCGGGGACGAAGGTTCTCAGGCAGAAGTGATTCAACTAGTGTAGCTTACAGGGTGCAATCCGATTGTCCATCAATTGTCTGTGTACTGATAACCACTTGGAATATCTTAACACTGTTGATGCGATGTTTCAGCCAGGTCTCAGAAACAGCTAGTGTACGGAACTTCATTAGCTTCCCTCCCACCAATCTGCTAAAAATCTGAACGACAGACTGCGAATAAGCCTGAAGCTAAAGTTGAAATGACCGGACCACACAGGAAACCACCTAACTTTCGATTGACCAGTTTTCTGGATGGGCCAATGAATGTCTACATTTTGTTGGTAAATAGATCAAATCCTTCAGCTGTGACACCCTTTTGGTGCCTAGCTGCCATGCCACACGAAGGAAGTAGGACTGGGAGACTGCCAGGTTGCTCAAGCCTACACGGGGGAAGTCGAGAGGCAGAGGTCGGGTTGCTGATAAACCGAAATTGGTCTGTGTGGAGCCTAGGAGTCATATGCAAGCTCTTGATGGGGACGGGATAGCTCAGAGCGCGAATTTACTCACTGGAAGGTCCGTGGTTCGAACCCGACCCCTGCATTTCGACTTCTTTTGTCTAGGCTTGGGCAACCTGAGAGTATCCGAGCCCTCGTGTTTCCTTCGGATTGCATGGCAGCTAGGCACGCAAGGGTGCTGCAGGTGAGCGATTTATCTATATTCTTGATGCCGATATACAAGGAATATACTGTAGTTGGTTACGAAGAGCCATTCCTTTTTAAACAGAACTGGGATGATTCGTCAGATCCAGGAGCGTTCCTACGTTTCAGGCATTCAATATCCTCGATGACCTCCACTAGAAATAGAGTTCCCAAGCTCATAAACTAAAGAGTTTGAATGGCGGGTTGGTCTTGAATATGTTATGTGGGGAGTCAGTTGCGGCAGCGATAACGCATCGGGAAATTTAGTCGACTGATGTTGACCGATTCCCCTTGAAACACAAGGCAGTACATTCAAATCGGCTTCACGGCGACGCACTACCGTTAAATAGGTCCAACTAGCAGACCTTTATTGACTTCACCAACATGGGTGAAGTGGGTGTGAAAAAGACTCTCATTGTCAAATGTGTGTAGCCTGGTAAAAGCCAGAAAGTAATAAATCGGCATACGCCACCCGACTTGGTTTACACACACTCAGATGTACGTTCCAGAGATCTATTACTGCGAGTAAGGCTGCACGCAGACAAGGTCTCGCTTTGTAAGATAGTGACGGCTACTTGGATGAACGACAAGTCGAACCCGTATCTTGGCGAATGGAATGGTTACACTGATTGACTGCAAGTGGTCGTTAGCAATCCTCTATCACCACTCACCCCAGCTCCTGACAAGATCCATTCTTGTGAGGAACCCTAGCATAAGTTCTAATAAGCAATCGCGCGAGTCGTCCGCGACGACCCTGAGCCAGTCCTTCCAAAGCCAAGCCAAAAGCGTAAACGTTGTATTCAGGTCGTACACCAGTATTCAGAAGATAAGTTATTTGTCCATCGACATAGCTATCCAGGTATTGTCTGTTAGTTAAACAAAGAGATAGAATTGAGAGGATGATTACTTTTCGTCTTTTCCTCCGGTCGAATAGGCCACCCTGTTCCGTCGAGCGCTGACCATGTTTATTGTTGGAGACCCAGTAGACAAAGGATTGCGACAAAGTACGGTTTTCTGGAGAGACACTAAAATCCCAAACAATGCACCTGTACTCAAGATCAGCAAAGTACCTCTTATCCTCTACTTGATGCTGGAGGAGTCACGCACAAAAAACGAGAATACAGTCGTCATCATCATACACATACCTTCTTCGTTGTCCTCCAGGATATAAGATTCTCTGAGATCCGTCTGAGTGGGATCCATCACTCTGTCACGTGAACGCATAGTGGATTGTTTGCGCTCCTGGTCTTGTTCCTCCGATAATTTCTCAGCTGAACGGAATGGTGAATAAATAAAATAAGGAACAGGCAAAAACAAACCTCGCTCCTTCGCCAATAGCCAAGCCTGATATGCCGGAGAACTGTGATACTGTCTCAAGGCCTCGGTATATTGCGTTTTCTCCGCGTCATATTCCTCAACATACATATTCTTTTCATCATCTGGCAACTCGCGCCACATTTGTCCAATAATTTTTCCCACTTCCCAGAGTTTCAGGTGTGGATTAGAGTTCTTGACTTGCTCCCACACCTTACGACTGTAACGCATGTAGGGCATCAGTGGCTTCTCCGGAGGCTTCGGTGGTTTTGGAGTACGGCCTTCTCCCTGTCAGTGGAATCAACAATATGTTCACAACGCGATAAACCTACCTTCGAGGTCATCTTCACGGACTGCAAGCCACTGTTTGCGTGAGAAGGCAAGAAAAAAGGTTTAGGCTCCTGAAAAATAAACCAAAACAATTATTTTTTATCACACGGGGAAGAAGACCAAAGTTGATAGATAAAGTGCATTGTCAGCAGTACCATGACTCCGCAGACTTCCGCAACAAAGTTCACTACCATTCTAACCAGACTTCCGCAACCAACTTCCGTTAGGGACTTTGTTCCGTCATTTGAAATGTAGAGTGAGTCTCGTCGTAAAATGCACACATCAGCCAAAAATAACGACAGTGCCTGGTGATGGGACCTCACAACTGCAATCCCCCTGTGGGAGGCACTGGCTGTATCTTTGTTCTCCATGGTTTAACTATGCCAGTTAGACTAACAGATGACAAAGAACAGCAAGTCCTCGTACTAGTGTAGTCGTTACAGCGCAAGACAGTGTGGAGATGAAGTAACACGACAATGCGTGGACAGTTAGATGTCTTCCCCGGGCAACCAGCACTCATTGTTACGGATGACGCGATGCTGTCTTTCCCCAAAGGACGGCGAGAGGTCAACTAAAAATTTCACTGTCCGATCGTTCAGCAGTTGGTTGTATAGGCCTGTGCATCCTTCAGTAACAATAAATAACAATAGTTCAGCTATAACACCATTCCGTCGCCTAGCTGACACGTAACCCAAAGTAAACGAGAAGGCTGAGAAACTGTCGGGTTGTCTTATCCTGGACAGGAGCCGTCGTTGATTTGGAGCCAAAGACCTTACGGTTAGTAAGTTAGCGCGATAAAAAGTGAGCCATCTCGAGCTGAAGTGCTGNCGGAAGGGTGTTACAGCTGAACGATTATAATAGTTATTATTATTATTATCATTATTGTTAGAGGTCACATCTCGCAGCCACACAAGAACACAGCCTTTACTGTAGCCCGATACACGCGACCCTTAGGACCCGGTGATGTCTCTTTGACACCACAAATAACAAAAATTAGCAAATATGATTCGGACCTTTGAAATTCTTGAAGTAACTTCATTAAACACACTTCCATCGGAGTTAATACAACTACCTACAGCCTCTACTGATTCGAAGCCTGAACTTCCTGAAGCATGACTTTGCACCTTGAAGGTTCAAGGCGTGTGCCGAAAGATGTTATGGTGGTGGTCAGTTTATTTACCGGGGCCTGTGCTACGCCTTCGTCTTCAAAGATAAGGACGATTTCGTCTGCGTACTCCAGATCGACAAGATCCTCACCAGCAACGATCGAAGCACATGAGTTTTGAAGACTTTCCGGTATGTGCTTCACTATTTTATCGCCGGAGTTGAACAGAACCCAGAAAAAGCGACATTCTTGTCGGACATCGCTCTTTGTGGGGCAGCTTTTTCGAGGGCTTATCATACACTCTCACACGCCCAGAGGTATGTTAGTATAGGGATCGGATTACGTCCACAAACTTTTGGGAAATAGCTGAGCATGTGCCGAAAGATGTTATGGTGGTGGTCAGTTTATTTACCGGGGCCTGTGCTACGCCTTCGTCTTCAAAGATAAGGACGATTTCGTCTGCGTACTCCAGATCGACAAGATCCTCACCAGCAACGATCGAAGCACATGAGTTTTGAAGACTTTCCGGTATGTGCTTCACTATTTTATCGCCGGAGTTGAACAGAACCCAGAAAAAGCGACATTCTTGTCGGACATCGCTCTTTGTGGGGCAGCTTTTTCGAGGGCTTATCATACACTCTCACACGCCCAGAGGTATGTTAGTATAGGGATCGGATTACGTCCACAAACTTTTGGGAAATAACAAGCTGAGTATGTGTGGTTAACAGCACTGACAGACCGATGGAATGGAGGGTATTTTTGAAGTCAATGAAAACCAAAATTATGAATCACCTGTATATATGGTGCTGCTCGAAAACCTGACGGAATGTGAAGATGTGGTCGAATTACCCTCTACCCGGTCGAAATCTCGCTTGCTGATCACGGGTCTAAAAATCGCGTCCCGCCGTAAGACAACGAAGAATCAATGACGCCAGAAACCTTGTTACAGCGGGGGTCAAACTAACAACCCTGCAGTAACTACATTCACTGTGAGTACTCTTTTTGAAAATAGGTACTATTATCAGCTTGTCATGAATATTCTTTGTGCTCACATTATCGTGTTGTATTAACCACGCTTTTGCCTTCATTTTCAGCTTATGTACGTCTATTCTTAGACAAGTAAAGCGTTATTCATTCTACGCTATTCATTCTTGTTCTCGCGCTCAATCAGAACCGATACTCTATTCGTAACACAGCTCATTCCAGTTATCCGGAAAGGCCTCTTTCTCCCAGATAGACATAGGCTAGACAGGCACTAACTGCGAAACCCACCGTCATTTTGAACATAGTAGGTGGGTCATCAGGGCCAGCAGCACGATGGCGTTTGAGTAGAGATATACACTAGAGCACTTCTGACGTTGAACTCGACTCCATATTCATAGTCCACCTTTCTGCTGAAGGCGGTCAACACAGCCTCTACCCGGTTCATATCTAGCTTGACGCTCACGAGTTAGTGTTTTGCATGCCAGCGTGAAACGACGAAGAATCAGCATCGACAGAAGCCTTGTCACAGCAGGAGTCAAACGAGCACTTCCGAATTTGCTACTGTCCTTGCTAGTATCCTTGAAAATTGGCACTATTGTCAACTGACCACCATTGTTTGGATCGGCCTTTCTCCCACATAGACCTGAACAGGCGAGATGGCTCAGGTTGGAGCGCGAATTTACTGAGCGGAAGGTCCGTGGTTCGAACCTGTCTCCCGACTTCCCTGTCTACACTTGGGCAACCTGGCAGTATCCCAGCGCTCATGGTTCCTTCAGGTGGCATGGCAGATAAGGCGTTACAGCTGAACGATTATCTTTTTTGTCTTAATATAATACTATATATGATACGTTCAACCATGGCACCCTGCTGGTGCCTAGCTGCCATGCCATCCGAAGGAAGCACGAGGGCTGGGATACTGCCAGGTTGCCCAAGCCCAGACAGGGGAAGTCGAAAAGTAGAGGTCGGGTTCGAAACACTGACCTTTCGGCCAGTAAATTCGTGCTCTAACCACTTGGGGCATCTCGCCCCTTTTATCTTATATTTGAACAGAGCATGTGCAAGGTTGTCAGGACCAGCAGCATGATGACGCACGGGTATAAGTATAAACTCGGTCACTTCTGAGGTTGAAGACAGCCCCATGTTCAAAGTCCACCAGGTAGAGCAGGTGGCCAACTGCATTGTTGTTCGAAATATTGCGCCTGGCGGTCAAACGTCCTGCTTTGCTGGATATCAGGAAGCCATTTTGGTCCATGATAATTTCGATGACAAGACGCTTCCGAGGACCAGCCGGATAAATCGAGTGGAACAGCTTGCGGACGTTTTCGACATTTTCTGCATCTTCCATTTAAACCTTTCGGGTCCATCAATCTTCTCGATCTGCATAAACCCTCCATTTTACCAGGCGTCAGATGGTGCACGCATTTGAATTGCGGTTGCGGCCGGGTAGAATCTGTCGTCGGGCCTCCATCAAAGACATTATCCTAGCAGAGATCCAATGTTTGGATGGACACAGTATCCTTCCGATGACCGCCCGAGCGATCAAACAAGTGTACAGCTGAGCAACGGTGCACCAGGCAATACATCAAACTTGGAAAGTCCCTCGTGCCCCGAAAACCGGACACGAGATTCCAATGACGAATAGACGCCCTGGTAGGAAAGGTTCACGAGCTTCGTCGTCACAGTGATTCTGGACAACTAGAGGCAAAAACAGTTGGAAATTCGACGAAAAATGCTGTGACAGATTGCCGAAATCTAGACTGATGTGTCAATGAGTGCAGAACATTCTGTTCAGTCCATTTTAAGGCGGTCCGGACCTTACGTTTGTTTCTTGCTCTTAAGAAACGTTGCGGTGAAAGGCTTCAAATGTTTTAGCTTCAGAAAAACTGACTATACAGTCAGTCCCCACAAATCGTTTGAAGACCGACAAGAGTGATGAATACCTCGCAGTTCAACAGCATACTTTGAGTGGCTCGAAAGGTGCTAAAAAGCAGAACTCTAGAACTGTCAAGATTTCGTCTTATCCGAAATATTGTTGTTTGGTTGCTTTCATTAAAGGTCATCCAATCCAACCACTCAGAGCCGCGTTAGCAACAATCGAACCATGAAGTGGCTCAACGGGATAGCTGAGAGATGTTTCCTGCAATGAATCACTATCGAAGTAGTTTTCTATTGATGTGCTGCTTGAGACTTTTCCCTCTGCCTTTGAAACCTCGACGACCGAAATTCTTTCGGGGCGTTCGTTCACAGACAGATGATATTGATGATATTGCTCACCTTGATTAACATTCTCCAAACATACAAGACATTTTGGATAACCTAAAGGATTCCGCCGCACCATTTCCCATGCGCTTCGCACCTGAAAAGTGTCAAACGCTGCTACCTGGGCAGTTGTACACGTTTCGACCGACTGGCTGGAAACGAGATCACTTAACGAATCGTGGAGGCCGGGATGGATTTTGCGAACCTTCAACACCTATGGCACCGGCGTGATGTATCCGTCCGTTGAGGATAGAGTATGTACCACGACTGTACGATCCATGCTGTCCTGAGAATCAGAAACGTGGCATCAATACGAAAAAACCAGGTGATGTCCCAGGTCTGGTGGAAGCACCGGATTAGCAATGGTAGGATGGTTTTAGGAAGTTCTTCCACGATGGATTGGCCAGTTGCGCTTCAGAGATTACACAGCTTGGGACATGTGGTTCGCATGCCGGAAGACAGTCTGCTCTTTCGCCAAGCTTTTTGTGTTAGACGATGGATGGAGTACAGCGACAACCAGAATAAGAACGGAAAAGACTGAGGGCTAGAATAATTCATCCAAAAACTTTGACACTGATGACTAAAACGGGAAAAAAGTGATTTAGCAATGAACGACGAGACGTTTGAAAAACAGAGCAAATATACAACATTCACCCTTGCAAAGGTAAATGCCCACAGGAGTTCGTTTTATGATTGAATGTCAGACGCCTCTGTTGCGCAAGAAATGCGTTCTTGTCCACTGTTGTTGTACAACCAATGAGTGTTCACAAGAATCCGATATTTCAGCTTCCGAAGCAAAGTCAGACAGTCCCGGCTTAATAAATGAATCAGTGTTAGGCTGCGATTACTGCTCTTCGGATTCTGGAGGGCATCCAAAATCCGCAGAAGGCGCCAAGTGGTGTAGGGACACCGTTTCTTCCATGCTGTTAAGGTGTCCGACATACGCGTACTCAGAATTACACTACAGGAGCTCAACATCTTAAATTACGGGGTCATAGTTCAGTGGTCGTGTACTTCGTCGCCAAAGCACCCACTGCCGCAACGATGAACCGACTGCAGATTCTTTAATACGATAAAACATTCACTTGTGTGGAGTGGCATTGGTGGCGGTGCATAACGAACAACGAACAGAATGAAGCGCGTCTTGTAAAACGGTTTCTCAATGACTGATTTGAAGACCTTACGATTGTAATGAAAGTGTAATAGCTTTCCGCAAAGTTCCACCTAATCGTTCCATCTGACCGTTCCCCCTTGGGTCATACGGAGTGGCTCAACGTGGTAACGCTACTTTCATGATATCACCGTAGATGAACTGGAAGAGTGTAGAACGGAAAACGGGGGTGCTCGTCTACGACCGTCAGTAGAAGGCAGTGGTCCTTTGAAGTCAGTGCTTATGTGGCTTTAGTGAGTATACCACCAGATGGTTTGAAGAAACGCGGTTTTAATTTCGCACGCACGTCACTGCTTAATGTAAGTCGAATGTCCTCTCGGGAGAATGGTAGATTCTTGGCACGAACGAAATGCATCATGCGTGTTGCTCCAGGACTGAACAGATTTGCGAGTAAGTGTTTAAGATTCAGCTCAGATTAAGTGTTCAGAAAGACACTCCAGGAAAGCGTGTCAGCAGCTTTGTTTTCTATGCCTGGTACGTAGGTTACGTCAAAAGAGAAAACGATAGCTCCATTCGTCATCGTTAGATTCTGTCATTTTTTGCTTTTTGTTGCGTCGAATTCATAAACGCAACAGACTGCTGATCAATTACAATCCTAAAATGGGTTCTGAGTAGGTTATGCCTCCGTTTACACACTGTTCCGAAGGTTCCGCACGCTTTTCTTGACAGCAGAATGCTTTTCGTTGGAAGAGTGCATGCGAGAAGAGTGCGACAGGTCTGTCATTTTGACTGAGTGTAGCGGAAATCGCAATATCAGACGCACCAGTTTCGAGTATCAAAGATATTCTCGGATCGATAGGGACCACGGCTACATCCACCAACTCTTTTAACTTTTTCACCTTTGAAACGCTTTCATAACAGATCCATGGACTTAAAAGGTTGT